TTTGGTTTTGTATGTGCAATAATTTTTTATTGATTTTTTATTACTGTTATATATGTATATGTGTATTTTTATATTTCTGAATATAATCAATCATTTTAATAACTAATTTTGTTTAATGTCGTCTAGTGATAATATGTATGTATATGTATATAAAATTTTTAAAATTATATATTTTAATATTTTGTGGCATTGTGATAACAATACCAAATATACTTTAAAAATTTATATTTCAATTTAATATGAATGCACTTGGTACAAATATTTTGAGAAAAAAATCAGTAGTAATAAGCGTGCATTTAAGGGTTTTGCCCAGTTTTATTTTTTTGTTTTTTGTTTTAAGCGAATGTGTGTACTTTTCTTCTTTTTTTTGGTTTGACTGATTTCACATTTGCTTATGCGTACCGCCTGAATTTTTCTAAGCAAATTTGGGAAGATCGTTGTTTTTGTAAGCAGTATATGTGTGTACAACGTGTATGCAAATATAAGTACAAGTTTATCTTTATGCCTACATTTGTTTTTTTAAGCGATAATGTGCATATTGAAACGTTTTGTTGATTGTCTAGTTGATTAAGAATAAAGAAAAAAAAAAATTTAACTTACGCGCTTTGGTTTTATAATTTAAGACAGATTAAAAGTGTTTGTAAATTAGTTCAAGCAACAATGCACATATTCAGATTTCGATTTGCGTACAAAAGAAAAAATTTTTCTGCCTCTTGATCTGCTTTGAAGTTCTAATGGAACACTTCTACACACCAAATGTAAAAAGCAAAAACAAGCAACCCAACAAGAGACTATGAATGAAGGCGCAAACAAAATGCGGGCCACTTACAATCCAAAATTCAACCATAGTTTCGATTCGTTTATCATCTCTCAGAAGTTTCAATGCTTCTTCTTCTCTAGATTATTTTTGCAAATTACACGTAATTTGAAATTTGAATTTTCAATTTCAATTGTGCCTGTAATTCAGAAACTAAATTACAAATTAAAATTATACTGTAATTCGTAATTGAGGTTTTCAATTAAATTACCCATATAGTCTGGAAATTCAATTATCAATTAAATTACTCAGTAATTTATAATTGAGTGTAATCTAATTACAAATGTAATCATTATTGCACAGCTCTGTTTACAGTCCACGAAAAGGGGGCAACTGATAAGTTCGAATGTTTTAAAGTTGTGTTCATTTTCACGTATAATATTAAAAACCTTAATCCGTTTTAAACAATATGAGCAGTCAAATTAAAAAACTCACGGAATCTCAGCAGAAAATAAATCCATATTTGTACAACCAAGGCAAATCTTATGCCGATATTTGGAAATGGTGCATAGAAATTCAATGCCTGCATTATTGATATAAACATCCACAAGAGAAACTTCAAGGAAAGTACCGAAATCTTGAGTTTACCAGCTAAATAAAACAGCTAAGCTGGTTTTATATTATTGTTAGATCTGAAACGTACGGTTTTTTATGTTCATATATGGCTCGCGCATTACGCAAAACATACATTGCTGCATCCGCTACAATCACCAGATATCAACCTCATTAAACATTTGTGGAAATAATTGGATAGATGTCTAAAGAAGCGCGTTATAACAATAAAGGCAGAACTAAAAGTGAGACTGCTTGATGAATGGCAAAATATTGGTCCAGAAACCATACAAAAACTGTTTTCTTCAATGCCAAAGCGATTAAAAGCTTTTATCAAACAAAAGGGCTGGCTTTGGGTTTTAATTTCAAGAAATTAAATATAAAAGATATTAAGCAGAAATTAAGCATTTTATCTAAAAAAAATTTGTTAAACAAAATCACTATATAATTGAGGTTAATACAGTGTTAAAGTTCAATGTGCTTGCTGTGCCACTAATTATGTGTGTGATTGTATATACAGTGGCTCTCAGCTTATTTCATGTAATACTGTTTTAAGTTTTTAAAACACTGTGTCTTGAAAATTAATTAGAAAACAATAATGTAATTTAATGTGAGGAAAGGCACGCTTATTGAACTTAATAAATGAAGCAAAGTACATATAATTTGTTTTTGTTTTGCTCAAAGAGGAAAAACTCGATAGTTCACAGTTTACTTCATCCAAATCATCACTAGCGCTTAGTCGCCAGTATGTCGCATTGTGCAACGGGATTTTTTTATCCGTAATATTTGCAACCAAATGTAATAAATTTTAATGTGATTTTGAACGTGTAACGATAAATAAGTAATTTTTTAAAAAAAATGAATGGACGCTTTACAATTGAGGAAAGAGAATCGATGCTAACCCATTTTAAGTACGGTCAACCTTAGCGAAAATTTGCGAAATTCGTTAATTTGAGTCCCTCTACTATACAGAGCATCATTAATCACGTTGTTCGCGAGAATAGGACTCAAAATATGGGCGGAAGTGCACTATAAAAAATTTTCAACTCAGCTGACGAGAAATATTTTGCTGGAAAAATCAAGAGGAATCCAAAATTAAATGTTCCTGATAGGTATAATCAGAAAGCTGCGGATAGAACTAGGCAAGATGTGCAGTGCGACAATTGTCCGCCGTATGTTTCAATACTCCCACGTTTATGGTCGAGGAGCCAAACAAATCATTCATAAGCAAAAAAAATCAGAGAAGTCGATATATTTATGCTAACAAGCATACCTACAAAAATTAAACTTCTGGAACACCATCATATTCTAAGACAAGTCTAAATTCAATATATCTAGCTCAGATGGCATGACTTACGTCTAACGAAAACCTAATACTGAGCGCAAAAAAGAAAACTTGAAAACTACAGTAAAGCATGGCAGTGTTATGGTTTGGGCCTATATATCAGCCGCCGGCATTGAGAATCTGGAGTTTATTGATGGAAACATGGACAAAACAATATATTTCGTTTTGAAAGAAATTTACTCCAGAGTGCCGTGAAAGTTGGAATTTCTGAAAGATTTCGCGTCTACCAAAAGAACGACTCAAAACATAAAGCCGGGCTTGTACAGCCTTGGTTGATTTGGAACTACCCGCAGCTTATGACATCGCCGCTGCAGAGTCCAGACATGAATGTCATTGAAAATTTATAGGCAATATTGGAACAAAACATTCCGTAATATACTATTTCCAACAACGAAGACTAAAAAAGGCTATTTTACAAGAGTGGATGAAAATAGCTCCAAAAACAACTCACAAAAACTTGTAAGTTGAATGCCGAAGAGACTTGACGAAGTGATAAAAGCGAAAAGATGTCATACCAAGTATTGACTTTGGCCCCAAATGAAATTTCTCTTTTTGGATGAAATAAGCTGAGGCAATGGAACAGGAGTATTTTTATAGTTTATGTTCATTTTTTATTAAAACAATATTTTCGGTATTTTTGCAGTTTCTAAATTAAATAATGAATATTTTTCCTTAAAACTGGCATTTAAATATTTTCAATCGATGATATAGTTTTTCAGTAATAGCGTAAAAAATTTAAAAATTAGTATTAGAGGAAATAAGCTGAGAGTCTGATTTAAGCAGAATAAGTGCCATATAAACTCAAGAGTCATATTAAACTTTTTGCGTGCATAACTTTTAATTTAACAATGAATTTTTACAAAATTTTTTTTAAGGTATAGGAGCAACTATTACACAATACAATATATCTGTTTAAATTCAGATTATAAAAAAATTCAAATTTTTTTAATATTGTATCATGCTTTTATCAAACTGAACTTAAAAAATACTAGCTTCGAATATTTTAAGAGCTCATATATTTTATTACTAATACAAAAATGTGGGGTTCTTCCTTGAAAAACTATTAAATATTTTAGTGGTAGTTATGAGTATTAATCGGTTTAGTAAACTCCTTTACCTGTTGGTATTCTAAAATATTTCGGCGTTGAATATGAGCGACTTTTGGATCCAAATTTTTGGGAGCAAGTTGTGAGTACGTCTCTGCGTTACATGGAATCAGTAGCATAGTTTGGTGATAATTTCTTAGTGGTGGTGGTGATTCTGGTCTTCTTGTGGGGCTTCGAACCAAGTGCCCATAATGCGTCGGGTCAATTGAAGTCATGGTTTGGGAATTCTGTGAATACATTAGTGATTCATCTTGATCGTGTTGAATCATTGTTTGACGAAACATTGTGCCAGCTGGAAGCGTCTGGTAAAAATCCTGTTGTAAATTAGTTTCAATTGGTATTTGTTGTTTGGTATCATCAGATTCAGGATAAAAACTCCACGTTCTATGTTCTGCCTGTTGTTGAGTAATTGTATTAGTGTGCATTTCAATTTGCTGTTGTATATTTTTTTCTTGCTGCTGTTGTTGCTGTTGATGTTGCTGTTGTGAGACCTTATACTGCGCAGTTTGAGCTGATGGAATCTGTGGATATTGTTTAGTTACTGATCTAGTAGATAATTGCTTGGGCAAAGTAAAAATTTTTGCTATTTGATTATTTACCTGCCATAAAAGTACAAATTCTATTAATTTTTTTTTTGTACAAATTTAAGCTAACATACCTGCATATTTACATTTGGCATTTGTTGAGTTAATTGTTCTTGCATTTGCTGTAATATTTCGTTTGTTGAATTGAATTTAGGTTTTATACCTCGTACAGATGGACGTTTATTAAACCCATAATCATTTTGTTCATCATCATCAGAACTCACATTTAAATTATCGTTTATATAGCGTTTTTTCAACTTTTCTGTACGACTTACTTCTTGATATGCAAATGCTGTCAATTCGTCTTGCTGTTCTTGGCCTGGCGTTCCGGCAATTACATCTGGTGCTACTTTACGCTGATCTTCACCACTTAAAGTTATATTAGACTGTTCTCCGGTTAAACCTGAACTATATTCTACTAAATGCGCATGACTTGTGGAATGACTACTGTGATGAGCAGTAGCTAAGGTGTAGTATGAAGTTAAATCGTCTTTATTTCCTGCTACACAAGCTGTGAGTGGTGCTAACGTTGAAAGGAATTGACGTTTATGTTCAACTTGTCGTGGTGGTGTTCGATGTATTTGTGTATGTACTACAGGTACTTGAGTACCCATGCCCAGATCTGGAGCAGCAGGACAACGACATTCCTATAAAAATAAAAGTATTATTATAAATATATGTATTATTATAAAAATATTATTAATTTACGGATTCTTATATAAGAAAGAAATAAATCACTTCACAACTTTTAATGTCTTTTTATTAACAAATGAAATACAGTGATTACAAATTTAATTAAATCAATTGAGACAGTGACTCTAAATAAAAATCTAATAAAATTGGGCTCGATTTTAAAAGATAAGTAAAACATTTATTAAATTTAAACATTTGTTTTTTATCAAAAAAAAAAATAGTTCAACTTTGCAAAACTATTTTGTTTTGAATTTTTTTATTAATATTTTTTATCACACATCTAAAATAGCTGATAGAGAGGGCATTGATCTATGAGCAAAATCCATAATACAAAAATCGATATTCCACCTAATGATATTAAATCGTGCAGAAAAGAAAAATGGAACGAAGTTAAAGGTAATAAAGGACCTAGAAACAGTCCTGAAAAAATGAAAAAACCAAAGCAACAAAAATTGAACTACTGGCTTAGTAATTCGAATAGATTTGATGAACTCATAGTAGAAGAAAATAGAAATCAACCAGCTAAACAAAAGGAAAAACCCCTTAAATCACCTACAATTTTCGTAGATAAAGTTGAGGACGTCGTCCCACTTTTAAATCTGCTTAATAAAATTGCAAATAATAAATATGAAATAAGAGTGATTTCATCTACTCGTATTCGTATACAGCCCGGTATACCGGAAATTTATGCAAAAATCGTTAAACTGCTCGAAAGCAAGAACACGAAATCCTATACATACAAACCTAAAAATGAAAGGAGCTTTAAGGTCATATTAAGCAATATGCATCGTTCCGTCGATACAGACGATATAAAAACAGCTATTGAAAAATTTGGACATGCTGCTACAAATATTTGGAATATGAAACATCGTCAAACAAAAAGGTCCCTTCTAATGTTCGTTGTAGAAATAGAGCAAAAACCAAATAACAAAGATATCTACAACATAAAAAGCCTACTCCACAGTCGAGTTATATTTGAGCCACCCCATTTTAAACGTGAATTACCTCAATGCTCAAGATGCCAACACTATGGCCACACTGAGTCAGGATGTAGAAGACAACCCAAATGCATTAAGTGTGCTGGTAATCACGCATCGGCTGACTGCGAAAGAAAATCCAGAACATGTTTTTAAACAAACCTCATGCCCATAAAGCTCGTCCTATGAAATGCCAATGGATTGTCAAAACATTCCTCTGAACTCAGATTATTTCTATCAAAAAATAATGTGGATATATTGTTAGTTTCAGAAACTCTTTTCACAAAAAAAAAATTTTTTTAAATTCCATCCTATTGTTTCTATCAGTCTCCGCATCCAGACAGAAAAGCTCATGGATGCTCTGTAGTATCAATTAAAAGAACACTTAAACATTATGAATGTACTCACTACAGCACTGATGAAATTTAAGCCACAAATGTTGTAATCGAGGACTCAGTCGGACCAATTCTTATATCTGCCATATATAGCCCACCAAAACATAATGTAAAGGAAGAAATCTACACAAAAGTTTTTTCAACATTAGGGAATCGATTTATAACTGGTGATGACTTCAATGCAAAAAATATATTCTGGGAACCCCGACTAACCACAACAAAGGGACGTGAATTATACAAAGCAGTGAGCCTCGTAAAACTTAAAGTTTTTTTTCACGGGAGAACCCACATACTGGCCATCAGATACAGCAGAAATTCCTGATGTAATTGATTTCTGCATTACCAAAGGCTTCATTTATAAACGTACTGCGCACGTAAGATCAGCTTAGAGTTATCATTGGACCATTCACCAGTGATTGGCATAATAGTTATAGACTTGAGAAGCAAGATCCAAAAATGTTAATTATACAATAAGCAAACAAATTGATCAATATTTGAAACAATATGTATGAAACAATATCGTCTTTAAACGTCAAAATGCCACTAAAAAGCGAAGAAGATATAATTGAAACGACTGAATACTTAACCAGATCTATTCAGGAAGCAGCATGGGAAGCTACTCCTTCTTCAAAAGTCTATAGGAAGACTCAGGTAATGTATACTGGGGCATCACAAAAAAACTTAAATATAAACGGAATGCTAGAAAAATATGTCATCGTACCAGACAAGAGGAAACTTAACAAAATTTCAAAAGATCTAAAGGCTCTACTGAAACGACAGACGGAACAAAATTCGCAGTAGTTCTTATATAGCCTCGACACATCTCACTTATCTCATTATTCTTTATAGAAAGCAAATAAAAAAATAAATAATACAATAGATTATCGACCCCCACTTAAAAAAACAAATAATACTTGGCCGAAAAAACCGTCTGAAAAACATCAACTTTTCGCAAGCCATCTAAAAAACGTTTTTACTCCATATGATATGACTGGCGATCCAGCAATAGATCTCAATATTTCCAAATTTTTGAAGGAAACTTACTAAATGGAGTTACTAATTAGGAAATTTGAAAAACGAGAAATAATTTCTTCAATTAAATCTCTTAAAAAACAAAAGGCACCTGGTTATGACCTCATAACTGCTGAAATCCTTAAAAAACTTCCAGATGTTGCTTTAATATTTATTACCTATGTTATCTTTTTAATGCAACCTTATTAAAAAGTTGCATCCCAGCTCAATGGAAAGTTGCCGAAATAAAGATGATACTAAAACCAGGGAAACCAGCGGAAGATGTAAAATCCTATTGTCCAGTCAGCCTCCTTCCCATTCTTTCAAAAGTTCTTGAGATACTTGTAGTGGAAAAAAAAAAATGTGCCAAGAAACTAACATACGCATGAACTAGAAGCTATGTGTGCATTTGCTTTGATATTAGAGTTTTTTCTATATGATTTTGTCCATGCAAAATACAATATGTTCTATTGCCTTCATTGCTGGCTTCACTAACAAAATATTTGCACCTGCCTGGAAATTAAACTTAATAATATAATAATTCCGCAATCAAACAACGCTAAATACCTTGGCATGCACTTAGATAGACGTCTGACATGAAAAACACACATTTTTAACAAAAGAAAATCCCTTTGGATTCAATACAGAAAAATGTTTTGGGTACTGAATAAAAAATCTTCAGTATCTCTAAAAAATAAACTTGTTTTATATAAAAGTGTGCTAAAACCAGTATGGACCTATGGCATTCAACTATGGGGAACAGCCTCAACATCCAACGCAGAAATTCTTCAAAGATTTCAGTCTAAAATTTTACGAGAAATAGTAAATGCTCCACATTCAAATCCATTGGGATCTTAGGATAATCCCGGTAAGAGACGAAGTAAAAAAGGTAGCTAGAAAATACCATGAACGAGACTGAAAAAGTAAGCGCCGCTTCAGATGTTATAATAAAAATCTTAATTCAAAAAGAAAATAGTAGCTCTCCACAGGGAGAACTACCTTAATTGTAAATTATCATGACTTAAATAGTGTTTATTAAAAAATTGTGAAATGTCACCATGTTATGTGACAGAATACATATTAAATTTGAATTAAATAAAAAAAAATTAATTTACGAATAAATTAGTGTGAAATAAACAATTCCTCCGCTTAATTCAGTAATGTGATATAATTTTGGGAATCAGTGTATGTAATTTAAATATTGATGAAGAGCTCGATTAGACAATTGGGTCGTTCTCACAATTTCAAGTAAGTAGGTAAAGTTACTGATTGTCATTCATTTATGGAGGGCTGTAAATGATTTTCGTAGCAATGGCTGAAACCATTAAGTATAAATATTATAGAGTAGAAATCTGCAAATAAACTCAATTTGTTAAGTAGGCCTGTGGGGGCGTGGGCAACAATGTTACAAGAAATAGAGAGCAAAATGCATCTCTCTACAGTGCTCTGTAACATAGTGAATACGTGCGTGTTAGTTTTTTACTTTGATTTTGTTTCCTTGTACTTTACTATTTTTATTTCATAGAAACGAAATTTAATTAAAGGAATATGCTCTATTTTATGGATTTTTTAGCACCAAATTTCCATTTAAACAATGCAGCTGTTATTTGGATTAATCTGTTACAACATTAAGGAGTGATGAAATTGTGAAACATTGTGTTATTGAAGTTTTCGGACATTAATTAAATATTTAGTTTTATAAAAAATATTTTGTGAATTTTTGATTTAAAATACTAAAAAAGTATTAATATATTTGTAAAATGATCTCAAGTAGTCGCGTTTGTAGTTATGTTTGCTGTATTCTGTTCTGCATGCGGATTCGTCGAAATAATCGAAATGTAAAATTATTTCGATTACCCCAAGTGATAATTACACAATTTAGGAGCTGTAGATGAAGAGACGGATAATTTTGCGCAACCACTAAGGAACTCTGGCGATAAAGGTGATTTGCAATATGAGATATTCTGCCGTAATAGCCAAATGCAAACTGAATGCGCAAACACATACAGCAGGAAATCTGTCAATCTTCTTAAGGAAAACATAAAATAAAAGAAAAAGTTACAGCTTTTGAAAAGTATAGGATCATTTCATTTTGTGAAATGATCCTAAAAGAGCGACAGAAAGAATATAATGAAAACTAGTTTCGTACTAGTAGTTCAAAATATGTATCTCGTATCTCCATTGGCATATTTATTTTTAAGAAATAAATTAAAAATTAATTTGCCATATGAAAAAACAATCAACAACTGGTCTATAAAAAAAAATTTGCATCCAGGATTTTTAAATAAAGATTTTGAGAACTTGAGAAAGAAAGCCAGCACACTCAGACAAGTTGATAAGGACTTTGCAATATTAGTTGTTGATGAATTGTATAATAAGAACATTGAAAAAATAAAAGTCCATATAATAAGAACACGTCTGCTTAGTTTAGTTCACGTTTCTTTATTAAAATTATTGTCTTACTTTATCTTAAAACTACCGACTACATAATTGTCTTAGTACACCGGCAAGCACTAATACAGCAGAGGAGCATGTATACATTTTATTATCTCACATAAGTGAGGTTTCATATTGCAGAAGTCTGGCTGCTTGCATATGGCTAAAGTCAATGATGGGAATGTGATGCATAGGCACATTCACAACACTGTACGTTAACCATTTAATGATATTTTATATGCACCTTAATATGCATTTATATAATTATATATATATAAAGTGTATACATGCTACACCTTCCTTTCTTTTTGTTTTTTTTTTGTGAATGAATTTATTTATATAAATTTATTTATTATTTATATTTACTTAATATTTATTTTTATTAATATTAAATATTTATTAATATCTACATTAATTACTGTATAAAATGATTATTTTTGTATTTATTAATTTAAATACATTTAAATACAAAAAATATTTTAGTTT